TCCATTATATTATGCTCCATATGAGTGTGAGTGGGTTTGCTTTTTCATGTCAATCACACGCTGCTCATATGTTGGCCCATATATGATTTTAATACTGCTACCCTGTAGTTGTGCCCCAAATGGGGGGTGGTTCTGACTCATGCGTTGCCATGAATATGGTACTTTTATGATCTCAACTAGGTTGTCTGGTCAATAAAGCACTTTTATGGATTGTCACGTACGGCAAACTGTTTGAAGTTATTTCATGGTTTTTATATAGAGGAGTATTACTATAAGGAACATTAATTTTCTTTGATATTTTTAATGTTAATAATAAATAATAACAATAAAATAATAATAGTTTAGATACAGCAAAGACTTTAATAGTATCTCAGAAAATAGTTATAATAATATCTGTATTATTATTAAAGTTAAAATATTTTTTCAGATTTTGTTTTGGAATTTTGAGTATTATTGAACAAATTATTTTTGTTTTTTTATAATAATAAGAAATTACTTAGTATTTCCTGGTCTTTACAAGACGTTCGATCCCAGCCTTTCATTGTTGCATGTAGTTTTCTAAACGTTTATGATGCACATTTTACAACAGATTTGTTGTTGTTGCTGCTGCTGGTGCAAAATTCCCACTCCATTTCGTGGGGCATATAAATATGAAAATGAAAACGCGGTTGATTGATGGCGCGTGTTGTCCGACATGACGAATTGGGTCAATTGTGACGCACCAAAGGATCCTAGATGATTGTATCTGCATCTTAGAATGAAGCTTGAAAAATATTTTCCATAGATTGCAGTTAAAGTTTGGCTTCAAAATAACATATGTGGAGAGGCTCTTCCTTTATTTGTAAAGCTTTATGGATTAAACCAATATAATATTTTGAGTATCTTAAGCTGAGATTCAATTAAAAATAGTAGGGCTTGCTTTTTTTATACTAAAAAGTTTGCATATGCTCTCTCAGATATTCAGTAATCATATTTAAGCTAAAAGGTTTTAATATGACCTTTTATATGCTGGCTTATCACAGAAGGATCTTCGGATCTTAACTAAATTTTGTTCTGGTTTAACAATATTATAAATATATATTATGAAAACAGTTGATTATCTAAAATATTTTTGTTTTTATGGTATCTTCTCATAGTCAAACTGTCCCTTGGCAACAAAGAACTCACATTGATGTCTTGGTGTCTGCAACAGATAACCCCTTTGTCCAATGCTTGGATTTCAAGAAAGCATATGAAAAATCATTATTTGTAATATATGCACATGTGTGAAATATAATTTAATGCCAAATTTAAATGTATTAATTAATGCCGCTCTCTCGTCTTGGAAATGTGTCCAGTCTTATCAGCTGTGATTTATATGCGACATTCTGATAATTATAATTATTTTTTTTGTATGCCACATCCGGGCGCACCAGGCCACCAACTTGAGACCCAGATTACCAGACGCCTCTCTTCCATCTCTCTCTTTTTTTTTTAGTAAGGCCATCTCTTTCCACCGAGTGGTTCCATCTCTTTCGAAGACATTTCGCTGCGCTTTGCATTCCCTGAATAATTGCAGTCCCTCTTGTGGGTCGTCAGAGTTTTGGGTAGTATCGCTTACAGTTCAGCGGAAAGACGAAAAGTTAGCACCCGAGGACTGTCATCAGATACTGAGGACCACAGTGTTAAGATATCCAGATATCCAGAACGTGTCGGGCCAATAAACTTGCTTTCTCAGATGCATAACGCTTAGGCGAAAAAGAATGCCCCGCTCATTAGTTCTATATCTTTCCGCCCGGCAAGCGATTAGCGTGGGTGGGTGTGCCCAATTGTCGCGCCAGAGATGCATGATATACCAGATATAACAGATCTCGGCTTTGGATCCGTGTGCGGAGGCCTCGGGCTGACCTTAAACCATGCATTTGGCTTGGCTGGACGAGCGAGCGGGACGGAATATCGGCAACTGGGACAATTGGCTTTAACATGTGTAAATGCGCTTAAGTGCGCGCCACTGACACACTATCGCATCTGAACCTACATATATAGTCCACCGATTTTGTCAGACTTTCGCTTAGTTGCACTCACAGTGGCGCAACAGGTTGAATTCTTAAGGGGTCAAGGCCGAAGATAAATATTTTCAAATATTTTCAAGACTTTTTTCAGGGTCTTACAACTTAATGTTAAGAATTAACTTAGAACTTTATATGTTTTGATAGAACTTAAAATGTTTTGAAGTTTTAAGGAACTCATGTTTTACTTTAAGTGTTAGGGATAGATCTCATACTTTCAAAAACTTTATAGATTTTATTTAAAATCCTACAATGATCTGAAGATCAAAATCATGTGGTATATTTATTTGATAGTACTTTAGGTGATAGGGATGGATATGATATTTTCAAATATTGCAAAGAATTTATTTAAAATCCTACAATGATCTTAGGGATACAATTTATCAAAAGTACTGTAACAATTTGATCCAACTAGTATTAACTGAGTTCCAAAAAGTCCGATCTAAACAATGGTTCCTTAAAGGGGGATACCCAACACCTGCTGAACTGTTTTCCCCCAGACACGCGTACTCATTCAGGAATTTTATTATTAATTTTGCGAATATTCCCAGCCCCGTCCCTCCTTTGCTGACATCGGCGGAATCGAGTGAATATTATTATAACACTTGTATGTGAAAGAAGGCACAGTGCAACAGCCATCGCCATCGCCATCGAAATCCCCCATTTCGAGTGGTTTCTCCCCTCGACGACGCCACTTAGTGGTGCGTTTTCTGACTGTCTGGCTGTGGTGCCATTGCCATCCAAAAAAAAAAAAAGAAAACCAAATAAAAGTGGCCCATATATGGACGGGGTATATATCATATACATATGTAGCATATGTGCAGTTGCAGTGTCAAGTTCAAGGAAATTGCAGTGCTGTCACTTTTGAACGTGTTACCGCAACAATTTCCACAGTTTGACATACACATAATCCCCACATATATTTCTTATTTTTTGTTATCCGAGGAGAATTCCTTAAGTTTCAGATTTGGCAATTGATTGAATGAAATTCGATGGTGTCTCCTTTGAATATATACCATTTTTTTTTGGGTTTCTTTTGCAGCCTTTTCAATTGAAAGAATGTGCGGTGTGAAACAAAAGACTTGAATGAAGCCAAGAAATGATCGAAAGTTCCCATTGAAATAGATGGGATGGCGCGTTATAATAGCCGAACTTTATAATATGTTGGCTAGCGGTTCGAATGTTTCTCACAGTATGCTTCTCATTTCCAGAAATCGAGTGCAATTGCTTCTTGTGCACCTGCACCCCCGATTTCTTGATTTTATTTTGGTATCTGCATTTTCTCGGATTTTTCATTTGTTCGCTGCCGGTGAAGAAAAATGGAAAAACGAAAAACATCTTTTGGTTCACCGCAATGAAAAGTCTTATTTTAATTTTCCTAGTTTTCAGCTTTCAGTTTTTTTTTCGCTTTCTTCTTGTTTACCTTTAAACGTTCTCGTTTCGGGATTTGGTGATGTGAATATTTAGTTAACAGATGGTTTGATCTCCTGCGAGCAGATTTACTTCTGGGAACTCATCTGTTGAGGATGTTCCGGGGCTTTGAACTCTGCCCGATGTCGCTTGCATCTTCTCCATTAGTCATCCATAGTCCATGGATGTTTGTAAATCCGAAACAGAATTTGCCAAACATTTGACACTAATTCCTCCAGGCAGCAAACAATAAAACACACAAAATTTAATATGCAAAAAATTAAAGATTTTGAGCAAAGAATCTCGAAACATGCGTGCAACATGTGTGCAGTTTTTTCTTTTTATTTTATTTTTAAATTGTTTTTTGGAGGAACTGTCAGAGGAAAACTTGAACGAGCACTGAAATTCCGTTTAATGGAGGCGGGGCCTATAAATTCGGACTTTTAACCAACATGAAATTATGTCAATTCTATAAATACGGGGCGAAACTAAGGATGTTTATCTGCTGACATCAATGAGGAAGCCGCAAGAAATGCGCCAATAAATAGGTGTTCTTCTTCAACTTCAACCTACCTCAAATGTATGGGATTTCAAAGCGATTTCCCAATTTGAAATATTCCAGATAATCGCTTTTTACGAATTGCACTTGTTGTTTATAAATAAATGCACATTAAATGGGTTAAAAATGCGCTGTGCCTGTGGAGAAGAACAGGGGGTTCTAAAATTTCCAACATCCCCCCCCTCGAATTTCTCACATTTTCAACTTCAGTGAGCGTGTTCTATGCACTCGCTCAATTGACTGGGCAAAAGTAAACGTACTCATATAGAAGATTATCTCATTGCAAACGGAAACTGTGCAATTAAAGCTGCGAACTGTAGCTGAAAAATGTTGCAGCTCTACTTATTATTGTTGATTTTCTGGCTAATCCCGCCGGGCTGGGATTTCGTTTGCCTTATGTTTTGGAAAGGAATTACAAAAAAGCATCGAGCATGAAACTTATGAGTCGAAGGTCAGTTCGTTAGGAAGAAAATCATCTAAATTGATAAAGATCTTTCAAAAGCGAGGATTTTAGAATTATATAATATTATTACCTTTATACATTCCTTTAGGTCAATATAATAACATTAAAAATGACTATATGTTTTTATAAGTTTAATGTTTTTATATGTATATTGTTATTATTAATGATAATTATCAATTTTAAGGCAAATCTCAAAATAAAGTTGAAGAAATGCGTATAAAGTTACCTTAAAATTGAAAAGCTTTTGGTATACAATACCTTAAGATTAGAGAAATTCCTCTTAGCCAATATAAGAAACTATTCTACATCTATAAAATTTAAAAATTAATTTTCCTAGTGCGTGTGATGCTGAGTAAATAGAACATAATGGCACAACGAATATACAACGAATTGATTCTGACATCTTCGATTACCCAAACGGGACTTCCAATCAGGGGCAATCAAGACCAGTTCTATATTCCTTGGTATACTCTATTAGTTCCACCGACTGACTGGAAAATGTTTTTTATCTATATTCCAGATTTGCAACACGACGATATGCGACTGCAAGGGCATCAAGGGACGACAAGGTGCCCCAGGACCCATTGGACGGGCCGGCTTGGAAGGTCCTATGGGAGATGACGGACCATTCGGACCACCTGGCCCCATCGGCGAGAAAGGAGATGTCGGCGAGTACGGCGAACAAGGCGAGAAGGGCCATCGCGTAAGATATAACACGTTCTGTATATCCATAAATGATTTCTTATGACTAACAAATATATTTGCAGGGAGACATCGGAACTAAAGGTGAAAAGGGCTTCCCTGGAATAATGGTGAGTTATTTGTATGATATGACGTACATTACAGCAAAAAACATCGATTAGACCTGTTTAAATATTGTAATTTGAACTTTGTAAAGTGTAAATGATTTCAGCTTTCCCGAATTATTTATAAAAATATGAATATTTTATGACAATATTATTATATTACCTGAAAAAGTATGTAGTAGGGACTAATGGTCCTAACTTTGGAATATTTCTTTCCATTCCATTAAGGTTTCTACTAGGTTCTTTACTAAAAAACTGTTAGTCAATATTTTAATATCACCATAAAGTTTGAAAAAATCGTCTAACATATATGTATATATATGTATGTAAGCTATGAAAGATAAACTCGTATTTGAAGAATTCCAATAACCCTCCAAGTGTGGGTAATAATAAATATAAAAATAATAATATAATAACCTAAAAATCTCTTAATCTATAAGATACCAATATTATATTATACTATCCCAACCATCTAGGGACCAAGCGGCGAGCCGGGCACCCAAGGACCACGCGGAATCGATGGCTGCGACGGAAGGCCTGGCGAGCAGGGAACGGTTGGAGCGCCTGGTGTGAACGGAGGCCGTGGTCCTCCCGGAAAGCCTGGCCAACAGGGTCCTCCCGGAGAGGCCGGCGAAGGCGGCATCAATTCCAAGGGCACCAAAGGCAATCGGGGTGATCCAGGAGCCCCCGGCTCCAGGGGTCCACCCGGATTCGATGGCGATCGCGGCAGCAAGGGAGACACCGGATTCGCCGGCCAGACGGGAGAGAAGGGAGACCCGGGATTCCAGGGACCCAAGGGCGACACTGGCAACATAAACACTCTTCCCTACATCCTCGAAGGTCCACCAGGACAGAAGGGTGAACCAGGAGACAGCCTGACCCCAGCCCTAAAGGCCACCGATGAGGGAATGAAGGGCTACAAGGGATTCATTGGACCCATTGGTGACCCGGGACCAGATGGACCCACCGGCGAGCAGGGTCCCGTGGGACGCAATGGACTGCCCGGTGCCTTTGGCGAACAGGGAGCCCCCGGAGAGCGCGGTAAGCCCGGCAAGGATGGAGTTGCCGGTCCGGATGGCGAGAAGGGCGTGAAAGGTGCACCCGGATGGACCGGCTTGGACGGAGTGCCTGGCAGCAAGGGAGAGCGGGGAGAAGATGGCTTCGACGGCATGCCCGGTGTTCAGGGAAACGCTGGTCCACCCGGAATCTACGATCCCAGTCTGAGTGAATCGCTGCCGGGACCCATTGGACCGCAGGGAGACATTGGCGCGCCAGGAGATCGAGGACCACCCGGTCAGCCGGGCAAGCCAGGACGTCGCGGACCCATCGGTTTGGCTGGCCAGTCGGGAGATCCCGGCTTGGGCGGCAATCGTGGTCCACCCGGACGCAGTGAGCGAGGTGATAGCGGTGACTATGGCCGAATGGGTCCATTGGGACCCCAGGGTCCTACAGGCGAAGCAGGCCTCCCTGGCCGATATGGACTACACGGTGATCCCGGCCAGAATCTGGAGGGTCCCAAGGGCGAGGCTGGTCTCAATGGACTGCCCGGTAAGGATGGCTATCGCGGTGAGCGCGGCGAGGTCGGTCTGCCCGGTGACAAGGGTCTGCCCGGCGAAGGTTACAACATCGTTGGTCCTCCTGGCTCCCAGGGACCACCTGGATTCCGCGGACGTCCCGGTGACGATGGTCGCAACGGATTGAGTGGCCTGCCCGGTGACAAGGGTCTGCGTGGTGACGACTGCCCCATCTGCAATGCTGGACCCCGAGGACCACGTGGTCAGGAGGGTGACACCGGCTATCCTGGACGTCATGGCAGCCGCGGCGAGCGAGGCCTCCTGGGACCACGTGGCGAAAGGGGACTGCCTGGAAACCCCGGAAGGGCTGGCCACCGAGGTCTTCCCGGCACGGCTGGTATTCCCGGTGAGCCGGGTAAGATTGGAGCACCTGGTGCCAAGGGAGCAGTGCTCACAGTCGGCGCACTCGTCAAGGGAGAACAAGGTGACGATGGCGACAGTGGACGTCGTGGAGAACAGGGATTGGAGGGTGAGAAGGGACTATTTGGTCGTGTAGGCGATCAGGGTGAGCGCGGAGAGCCTGGACAGCGTGGCGACTTTGGTGATACTGGATTCCCGGGTCGCGATGGCCTAGCTGGACGCGATGGAAAGAACGGCATTGCTGGAATCAACGCCTCCAAGCCCAAGATCTACTTGACCGGCGAGCCAGGCTTCAATGGACGCAAGGGAGAGCGCGGTGATGATGGAGACACTGGTTTCAAGGGCGTCAAGGGTGAGCCCCATCCCGGCGAGATCTACGACAACCGAGGAGACGTTGGCGAAGATGGCTATCCCGGTCTGCCCGGTGACCAGGGACCAAAGGGTGAGCGCGGCGATGATGGACGCAACGGAGATGTGGGTGACCGTGGGCTGATTGGCCTGTCCTATCCCGGACCCCTTGGTGCCAAGGGCTATCCCGGCCCAACAGGCGATTATGGACCACAGGGAGCTGCCGGTCTGCCCGGCTTGGATGGTGAGCCCGGTCTGGATGGCAACAAGGGATACAAGGGACAGCGTGGTGTGCCCGGCCAAGCGGTGCTCCCGGGAGAGATTGGACTACCTGGACTTCCGGGCATCAAGGGTCTTCCCGGTGATGTCGGCATTCCAGGACTCTATGGACCCTCCGGTCGTCCAGGACCCAAGGGAGCGAAGGGCGAGCAGGGACCCTATGGCGCACCAGGACAAACAGGTCTGCCCGGCAACAAGGGTCAGCGCGGTGACTACCTAGTTGGACCAGCCGGACCCAAGGGTGAGCCCGGACGCAATGGACGTCAGGCTCCGCACGGCACCAAGGGCCAGAAGGGAGAGGTGGGTCTGCAGGGACAGGATGGACATAACGGCGTAAAGGGCAACATCGGCTTCTCTGGTCGTCGTGGTCTCCTTGGCAGTCCGGGTCTCCAGGGCTACCCTGGCAGTCCTGGCATCGGCGGACTTCCCGGCATGACCGGCGAAATTGGAGAACAGGGAGATATCGGCTACGACGGACGGCAGGGAGACATCGGTCCTCGTGGACCCAACGGCGAGTTCGGACCTAAAGGTGAGCCGTTATAAAGGTTACCTAACTACCTTCTAGTTTCAACCCGTTAGAAAACCAACAGTTCTTAAATTAAATAGCTTGAACACAAAAAAATAAGATCTATATATATTTGATCTATAAAGTAATCTTTTTAATAATTAACTTATTCATTTCGGGAACAGGGTCATATAGTCGATATTATACAATGTAACGTTTTTTGTTAGTGGAGTAAATTCTTAAATTCTATTAAATTATGGTATGGTAACATGTTTTGTCTAGTTTTTACCGTATTCAGAAATCCCTTTATCAGAAATATGGTTATTTTAACTTTTGCGCTTATAATTCCCAACTGGTACTAGCACAGTTATACCCCCCAATCTTCGATAATCTTCACACTTGTAATTTAAACGATACTTACATTAATGTGTTAAAAAATAGATAGTTATCATTCAGAAGAAATTGTAACCTTCTTGAATTTGTTGTCGGTTAGAAAATTTTAGTTAGTTTAGTTATATTGCAGTTCCTTTGTCTCTGTTAATTTTAACTACTACTTTCCTTTACCTGTGCTTTATATCAGGTCTCTCCGGTGATGATGGTCCGGATGGCTATCCCGGAACTAACGGATTCCCAGGACCCAAGGGCGAGCCAGGATCTCCCGGATTTCCGGGTCGCGTGGGACCCAAGGGCGTGGCCGCCTACAGCGGCATCAAGGGTGATGACGGAGAAGCCGGATTGACAGGACCAATTGGTTACCGTGGAGCCCCCGGACAGAAGGGTCAGCGTGGACCCACTGGTGATTCGCCCGTGGCCTTCGATGGACCAGCTGGCCGGAAGGGAGAGCCAGGCAGTCCTGGACTCAATGGAATCAACGGTCGCTACGGACTGAAGGGCCAGCGTGGTGATCGCGGTCTGGCTGGCCAAAAGGGTCAGCAAGGTGTGACTGGAGCCCAGGGAGTGGCCGGCTATCGCGGACGCAATGGAGCTCATGGCCTCAAGGGCGCCACTGGCGAAGTGGGACCCGATGGACCCAAAGGTGCCCAGGGTGAAGTGGGCGCCGTTGGCTTTGATGGACGTCCAGGTCAGATCGGTGACCAGGGACCTCGCGGACTTGTTGGACTGCAAGGAGAACAAGGTCTGCAGGGCGACGAAGGTGAAATGGGATTCCCAGGTCGCATTCTGAATGTGGAGGATCGTGAAATCTATCGCGGTCTCACTGGAGATCGAGGTCTTCAGGGTGAGCGTGGCGCCAAGGGTGAAAGAGGACAAATTGGATTCATCGGAGCTTTGGGAGCTAAGGGCGAACAGGGCGACATTGGCTTCCCAGGATTGGCTGGCTTCGATGGAGCTGCTGGAGTCAAGGGCTTCCAGGGTGACAAGGGACCCCGAGGACCAGCGGGCTACACCGGAGTGGCGGAGAAGGGAGACGAAGGTGATGCAGGACTCGATGGACGCTTGGGTCGTCCAGGACGACCGGGCCAGAAGGGAGCGCCCGGACCACCAGGAGAGAATGGCGCGCACGGCATGATTGGACACCGTGGACCCGAGATCGTGGGACCACCTGGACCACGTGGCGATATTGGCTTCCCCGGAACACCTGGACACAATGGACGACACGGATTGATTGGACCCAAGGGAGAGCAGGGAGACATTGGTCGCCAGGGAGAGCGGGGTGAGTCCGGATATGCCATTGTGGGCAGGCAGGGAGACTTCGGAGATGTTGGCTACCAGGGTGAGACGGGTTGGACTGGCGCCAAGGGCGAGCAAGGCTTCCCCGGACGTCCCGGACAAAATGGAAGGGTGGGTCCCGCTGGACCTCGGGGACCCACTGGCGACGCCGGCTGGAACGGAATCGATGGCATGGACGGACTTCCTGGTCCCAAGGGTCAGCCGGGCGTGACATTCCCCTACTCCTCCGTTCGTCCGGGAGACCGTGGTGAGCCTGGTCTGCCTGGTTTCCGTGGCGAGCCCGGCGACATGGGAGAGCCAGGATTCCAAGGATTGGTGGGACTTCGCGGTGTGACCGGATATCGTGGTGACCAGGGCGAAGTGGGCTACACTGGAGCCGATGGACAGAAGGGACCACGTGGTGACAAGGGTTTCATCGGCTTGACCGGACTTCCTGGTCTCCAGGGTCTTCCCGGACCGCAAGGTGACGCGGCGCCCGCTCCGCCGGCGCCCAAGAGCCGTGGCTTCATCTTCGCCCGCCACTCGCAGTCCGTCCAGGTGCCACAGTGCCCGGCCAACACGAATCTGCTGTGGGAGGGCTACTCCCTGTCTGGCAACATAGGCTCCGCCAGGGCTGTGGGTCAAGACCTGGGTCAGTCCGGCTCCTGCATGCAGAGGTTCACCACGATGCCCTACATGATGTGCGACTTGTTGAACGTGTGCCACTATGCCCAGAACAACGACGACAGTCTGTGGCTGTCCACCGCCGAGCCCATGCCGATGACCATGACACCCATCGAGGGCAGGGACGTCGAGAAGTACATCTCGCGGTAAGGAATATATTGCAGCTGACTGCGACTTAAGCTCCCACTTCTGACGATTATCCTGTCTCGTTTTCAGTTGCGCGGTGTGCGAGACCAAGACCAGGGTCATTGCCCTGCACTCGCAATCCATGTCCATTCCGGACTGCCCCGGCGGGTGGGAGGAGATGTGGAACGGCTTCAGTTACTTCATGGTATGTTCTTCAAGATTTGTTTTAAGGACCAGCATTTTTTAGAAACGTCTAATTTATTTTGAAAGTTAGAAATATGTTTAAAAAAAAATAGTCGGTGTCACCAAATTTTTTTCGCATGAATATCTTTTTAAATGGAGGGAGTTTCTGGGAAACATCAAAAAGCGTTTGGTTTCTTAAATCCTAAACTTAAAAACAAAAAATATCGGGGTCACCAAAGTTCTTGAAACTAGCTACGGTTCGCAGTAACATTTTTAGTAGAAAAGAATTTCAGGGCACAATTTAATTTAACCTTAAAAAAAGTTTGTGCATGTCGGTTAGAAAAACGTAAAAAGGGATGAATACGTCGGGGTCACCAAAGTTGTGCACTTTTTCTCTGTACTGCTGTTAAATCTTTAAAAGTAAAGAAAGTTTCTGAGACACAAAATGCCTTTTATTTTCAAAATCAGTGTTTTGTAAAAACCTGTTAAACAGTTTTAGTGAAAATCGGGGTCACCAAAATTTTTTTATTTTCATAGTAAAGCCTTTGTTGGGACACTTGAATCTTTTTCCTAAACCCGCCGTAACCTCATTTGCAGACCACCTTGGACAACGTTGGAGGCGTTGGACAGAACCTCGTCTCCCCGGGCTCCTGTCTGGAGGAGTTCCGCGCCCAGCCGGTGATCGAGTGCCATGGCCACGGACGTTGCAACTACTACGATGCAATTGCCTCCTTCTGGTTGACCGTGATCGAGGAGCAGGATCAGTTCGTGCAGCCAACCCAGAGGACCCTCAAGGCCGATCAAACCAGCAAGATCAGCAGGTGGGTGCCCGAGCTGAGTTTGTGTAATCCCTTACCTCTATACCATATATCTTGTATTATTTTCCAGGTGCACGGTTTGTCGTCGTCGTGGTGAAACCCTTATTCCCCGTAATACAGGCACCTATGACTATAGGTCATCCTGGTCATCTGACAGTGCTTCAAGACCCAGCTCGCAGTCCAGTACTGGATCATCATCAGGTAGATCTGGCTGGTCCTCTGGCAGCAATGCAGGTTCCCCATCGGGATCCAGCTGGTCTTCGGGCTCTTCCGCTGGAAGATCCAATCCAGGATCTAACTCAGGCTGGTCTTCCGGTTCCTCCGCTGGAGGTTCCAATCCGGGATCTAACTCAGGCTGGTCTTCCGGCTCCCCCGCTGGAGGTTCCAATCCGGGATCTAGCTCTAGCTGGTCTTCAGGCTCCCCTGGACGTGCCAGTCCTGGATCTAGCTGGTCTTCCGGCTCTCCGGGAGCTTCCAATCCGGGATCTTACTCTAGCTGGTCTTCCGGCTCCCCTGGAGGATCGAATCCGGGATCTGGCTCAGGCTGGTCCTCCGGCTCCCCCGGACGTGCCAGTCCTGGATCTAGCTGGTCCTCGGGCTCTCCTGCAGGATCACATCCGGGCTCGGACTCCAACGCTGACTGGAACTCCGGCTCCGGCTGGAGCACAGATCCCCGCAACCCCGCCGCATCGAGGAACCCCTCCTCGACCGCACAACGACAGCCGTACGCGCCGGCCCCATCGAACTACTTGAACGGAAGGTACCAGCAGAGACCGCGCCCGAGCAACCTGCAGACCTACAACGAGTACGGTCGCTATGGGGGCGATACCCGCCAGTACAACCGACGCCCGCGTGAGGACACCACCGCCCCCTAGGCTGCAGAATTCGCACTAAGTAGCAGTTAAATTTTTGTCTTAAGTCTATTGCTATCCTATCACGATAACGATAACGATCTAAACCAAAACCAAAACTAAAACTAAAACCCAACCCCAAATCAATCAACCGAAGAAACAAGAAAAACTCCAAAGCCCACTGAACAGTGCCATTTTCCGTGGAGATGTAATCTAATTACGTGGACACCCAAAGCTTAAAATATATTACACATACCAAAAATTACACATGAAAATTGAGAAAGGGGACGAGAAGAGTAACCACTGCCTCCACTGCAAAGACAGTAAGTCTTTTGCCTCTGTTGGGATTATTGTAAACGTAACAAAACCAAAAACAAAACCCAGTTTTTTGATAAATAAAATTTACAACACATAAAACCAATGCACACGATATTTTGTTTTATTACGATTTCGGAAATACATATGTTGTCCATACTAATTTTATCAGCGACCCAGGAGATCTGCAATATTATTTTAATATATTTTTTTAACGTGCATAGCTTAGCCAAACTTCTCTAATTCAAAATCCTCTAAGCCAAATATCTGGAAACGATTACTTCATAAAATTAGTTTTTAATTACTTTTTCCAATTTCCCTATATATAATAATGGATATTCCTGGTAAATTTTTATGAATAATATTTAACCCGCTTGATTTCCTACGGTTTGCTGTTCTTCGGTTAATATGCAGATTTTATTTTACGAATTTAATCGCCTATTTGTTCTTTAGCATATTTAATGAGAATTTTAATTAACCTTGTACCCCATCTAGTCAAAGAAAGCAAGTTTATTTCGGTTTTGAAACTGTCGAGCGAATTTATCTTTATTACAATTTGAAAAAGGTTTCACATATCCGTACATAATTAGTTGCTCCCCCACTAACAAGTAATGATACACATACACAATCCCGTAAAGGCTATGGACAAGGTACATCTTTATGGAGGCAGGCTTCTACTACAGTGTGTGTTCGCTTTTAATCTCGAGATGTACCCGGTTTCTTTGTCCGATTACGTCATCCTGTCCCCCAAAACAGGGAACACATACAGATCACTAAGCATTTGAATACAAGGAATACAAGGAAATAGGTGGTGGCGTACAGTAGGCTAAAGTTGGGGTGAAAACAGAGATACAGCTAAGTAGGTAATATCAGGACAAGAGCTTAAGTTTAAGATAGGTTCAGAGCCGGGAATGGAAATCCTTGCCGCGGCTGTTTTGGTGTTATCCGGCTGCTGTTCCCGCCTCTCCTTCCGATTCCGCCGCTGTTATTATTTAACAAAGTCCGGGTTCTCCTGGACCTTTTCGGTGAACTGCAGATGATTGTCGATGATCTGGAAGAGGACCTCCGGCGAGGGAAAGCGTCCCGTTTGCAGTTTCGACCACACGGGCACATCGTTGAGGGTGATCTCGAAGGCGCCCGACGAGATGAGCTGGCCCTCGAGCATGTTGCCCAGGAAGAAGATCATCATGCAGGCGTAGATCTTGTTCGCCTGCAGGTGGCTCCACCAACTGGGCGTCTCCATTCCGAGGAAGCCGAACGGACTGACCGCACTGACCACCGACACAATGATGATGATCTTCACGGCGAATATAATCTTCGAGAGGTAATAGTTGAGACCCGGCGGATCGTAGTTGCCGCCGTTGACCTGGATCTGCGGATACTTGTCGCCCAGCAGGCCAACATAGTCCTCGAAGGCCTTGCGATAGCCGCAGGAGTAGCTGTTCCACATGGGAAGATAAGTTAGTCATTCCCTTATCTATTATGTTAATTGCCCCGCATATTTACTCACCAATAAAGAAAAGTCATTGTCGGCGCTATGTTCTGGCCAAGTTTCGTGGCCGGTATCTCCTTCTCGCCCTCGGCGACCACCAGGGCGTATGCGGCACAGAGGCAGAGCACCAGCAAGGCAATGTTCCTTCCGTTCAGAGCTTCCATTTCAATTTTTGGCCCGATTTTCTAGCTCGAATTTGGAATTCAATATTTCCTCACACTTTTGCTACAGTGTGCGTCGGTGTGAATGGCAAACACCCCTGCCCCTGCACACTGTCAACGGATCGTTGTGAGTGGCACTGATAGGGCTGGCGAATCACAGATGTTTTTGGGGATGTCACTTTCTATTAAATATTTAATATTCATAAATTAGCTTTTGTAAGAAATAAAAATAGGTTATAAAAATAAGACGGGTAACTTGCTTCATATATATGTACAAATGTTTGGCCCTGGAAACCTAATCACAAGTGTTTTGATATTTCCCTGAAGCTTCTAGAATTAAACAAGTCTTTATTCATTTTATCCAAATTTGCCCTTTTATCAGAAATAATACACAAATTGATTTAATAATTTTGTAACGTGATTTGAAATATTCATCGACAACTTGAATAATTAAATCACCGACTTATATCGATACCTACACTTTCTCATTTCTCCCATCTCCGTGTCTGCGTTTCGCGGTGATTGTCGCAGAACTGCACTAAAATTTGCCAAATTGTTTATTATTTTCGGCGAACAAATGCTTGCAACATGGTAAATGTTATGAAAGGAGTGCTGGTGGCGTGGTAAGTGGTCTCTATTATATCAGTGCACCTTAAAATAATCTGTATCCTCCAGTGATCCTGCTATGAAACAATTCCTGCTGCACTTGGACGAAAAGCTAGCACTGGGTCGCAAATTCATTATCCAGGATCTGGACGAGAACCATTTGTTTATCTCCACGGACATTGTGGAAGTGCTCCAGGCGCGAGTCGATGACTTAATGGATCGGATAAGTTTCCCGCTGCACGACAAGGACGCTTAAAGCAATCAACTCTTAAAAAACCCCCCGCAAATACTAAAAACCATAAGCAACCATGACGGGTCGCGAATCCAATCGCATCAAGGACGCCGAGAAGAAACGTGTTCTGGATTCCACCGCCCGCCAGAGACGTGCCCGCAAAGCTCTGGAGGCCCTGGAGCAGGACAACTTTCACGATGACCCCCACGCCGATCTGGTCATGTCGAAGAAGCTGCCCAAATTCCAGGACAACCTGAAGACCGGCAAGGAGAAGAAGGGCAAGCGCAAGGGCGCCGAGTACTTCCGGGCCAAGTATCGCAAGAACTTTCAGCAGCTACTCGAGGAGGACAAGGACAAGCGGCCCAACTACGAGAGCGCCTCCGCCCCGCCTCCCCAAAAGCCCGTCCGGCATTTCTGCGCCGTTTGCGGCAACTTCTCGCTGTACTCGTGCACCGCCTGCGGAACGCGGTACTGCCGCGTCAGGTGCCTCCAAACGCACCAGGACACGCGATGCCTCAAGTGGATCGTCTGAACATGGTTGCAAATCAAAGCCTTGAAGTAACTTAAATATATGAAATTTCTAGAAGTACTTCTGTTTTATTGTAGGTTACATTTATTGCGTGCTTCATACGTTTACCGTTTTCCTATTTCTACTGAAAAGCTATTATCGCTGTACATATTTTCAAGAAATGCATTTTTTTTAACAAATAAAATTATTATGAAATAGAACGGAAAGTTCAGGTTCAACATTCATTGGCTCTCCGTTCTTATATTTTTATATTATCCCTCCTAGTCCTTTGTTCTGCTACTTGTACAATGCTAAAAAATATTCAATATTTTTTAATAAAGGCGCCTTGTATTCTTCCTCTTCCATGGATGAGTCATATTTTTCCCAATCTGGTAACACCAACCGATTTTCTAACAGAAATGTTAATTTGTAACGTTTTCTAACAGAAAATTTCTCTGCCACTGTTAGAAAACATTACATCTTAACATTTCTGTTAAAAGCTGACTGTATGACCATCCGCCAATCGCTGAGAAATGTAGAAAACAAAAACAACCTGGTCTGTCTTATTGCGCGTTTTTAACGCGTTTTGGTGGCGGTTTTCGCAGCGCAGTCTCAGTCAATACTGAAAATTCAACGGCGCCTGCAAATAGTCGCTGTGGGTTCCAACCAAATAAAACGTTCCGAGCACAAAGCACTGCGAAAAGCGGCTTTCTTCGCCAGAGAAAATTATAACCAGAAATAATAAATCCCAACCGGCGAAATCAGCTGGGTGCGTCGTGTGCGTGTGAGCGGGAGAGACATCTCGTCAGTGTGTGTGTGCAGTTCCAATCAGAAAGCCAGGATATCCAAACAACAACTGTGAAAAAATCGAATTGAACAAATCGCACTGGAAATAGATAAAATGGATCTGAACTTTGCCGAACTGAAGAAGGAGGCGGCCGCCACCAACGAGGACATCTTCCAGCGGGCACAGAAGGCCTACGAGGACTCGGGCCTGGGCGGCGATGCTGGCAACGTGAGCGGTGGCGCCCAGGACGACAATGCCCATACGGAGCACTATTTCGCCAACGAGCAGAAGAACCTGGACTTTGGTGAGCCCCAGGAGTTCGTGCAGCGCCTGGCCGCCGGCGCCAAGGAGGCGGCACTGGACCTGGACGCCAAGTTTACCCAGAAAACGGACGACTTCGACGACTTTCTGAGCAACGCTGGCAAGGAGGTGAAGCAGGGCATCAGTGGACTGACCACCGACTTCATGAACGCCGAGCGGGGCTTCGCCGCGCCCCTGGCTCCCTTCTCAGAGGCTGCTGCTCCCAAGGTACCAGCTACAGCTCCTTCTGTTCCAGCTCCTGCTGCTCCAGCTCCAGCTCCTCCTTCTGTCCCAGCTCACGCTCCCGTGGAGGAGGACCTCCTGGGCAGCTTCAGTGACCAGCCATCGGCTCCACTTCAGGCCTTCCAACCCTCGGCACCGTCCAAGGCCAATTTCTATGACGACGAGGATGAGGAGGAGGAGGAGGACTTCCTGGGCAAGCCAATCAACGCTGCCCCAGCTGTCCCAGTCGCTCCACTGACCAAAGCCAACCAGGATTCAGACACCGAATCGCCGTCCGTCTCGTACACTCCATCGCCGGCCAAGAAACCCATTGTGGATGCTCTCAAGGAGCAGGACAACGAGAAGTTCATCTCGTCGGAGGATCTGCTCAGTGACTTTAAGGAGGAGCCACGCTCAGCGCCGGCTCCCATTCCCACACCCGCTCCCGCTGCTGCTGCTGCTGCTCCAGTGGCGCCAGTTGCCCCAGTTGCCAAACCCCCGCCGGTTCCAGTGGCTGTCCCAGTGACAACCGCTCTGGTAACCGATCTGGATGACGACGAGGTGGTGTTCAAGCCCAGTGTCCAAGAGGCGCCCAAGGCAGCGGCACCTGCACCCGAACCGAAACCAGAGCCGCCCAAGCCCAAGGAGGAGCCACCCAAGCCAAAGGTTGTTCCGGTCCCAGTGGCCGTTGAATCGTCATCACCGCCGCAGCCCAAGATTGTGTCCGTCGAGGAGATCTTCTACAAATACGGATTGGGTAAGTTTCATATTTGCTTTCGAACTCGTTATCATTGCGTTTCTAATTAATTTGTTGTGCTCCCGTCGTCATTAGAGTATCACATTGCACTGTCGTCATTCGAGTATTATTTTGATGTTTGTTTTTAGTGTCCTTGCGGCGCACCTTGCATCCCACGCCCTTTCCCAAGCCTGCTGCCCCCTGTTATTTTTTTATTTGTGCGTTAGTCACTCGCCTCTCTCTTTTCTGTGGTTTTTTCCTCCAACCCAACTCTACTCATGATGTCATCGGCTTTGGCGGGGTTCTCTTATTAAATATATTTTGTATCGCAATGCGGAGAAATTTGGATGGCGCTGGAGAAGATTCGGGAAGTCTCTTGGATGCCACCTCTTCTTTTTCCCTGGCCTTTACAATTAATCATTCTCCGCCTTCTGAACAGCAGCCTTTCTGCCGGCACTCTCATAGTTTCCATAGATTTTTCGCAAATCGATCGCCAACGTGTGATTCACGCTCATTTGAATGCCACGAACAGAAATATGGCTGGTTAATACAGGGCTCGTTCGCTAAAAGCAACGACCAGCTGTTAGGGAAATTTTCTCTATAAAAACCCTGTCTTGTAAAAGGGTTTTTGGATCATGTTTAACCTAATTATTCTCTTTTCTAAATATTTTACAATCTCATTACAAATTTAATAACAAATAACAACCCATATTTTACAAAACTTGAAAAAAATAGAAAAAATAGAAAGTTTTAGTTCTATTTTTTATTAGAAACATTTAGTTTTGACTGTCAAGTTGAAAAGAATATTGACCAATAGAAAGTAGTTGTATAACAAGTATAGAAATATTTTCCAAACATTTTAAAATCTCTTTAAAAAATGAAAAAATAATCTGAAATTGTGACTTGTCATACACATATAGAAGTGTTACTTATAATCCTCTTAAATGTTTGATGACCTTTATACTTACTGTTTTTTAACAAAGCAAATAGAAGCAATTAAATAGGTGGGGAGCAAAATCACAGAGAGAAATTACACAATGAGTTATCAAGAAAAAGGGAACAAATAAACCTGAGAAAAGCAAGTAGGGATAGTAAAGAAGGTAAATTGCATAACTAATCCGAACCGGGCAACTCATCACGTTTGTGTGGTATCAAAGGGGCCACATTCTCGAAGCTAGTTTCACCATTGCCGAGATACTTTGCCGGCGTGAATCAGCTGCTCCGTACTGTAACCTCTCCCCCATTCCGAAAGCTCTCTATTATATGGGGTATATAATATACAAGTACTTTTTTGTACCCACTGCCTCTATTGACGTACACATGTCCGTTCATATTTCACATTATTTCATTACGATTCTTTTTTCTGTTTTAGTTATTCGTCGTTTTTCGTTTCCATTAAAGCAATTTGCGGCAGAGTAATTTATTGTTGCGTAGTAATGTCTGGTACTATTTGGCAAGCTCACGTTTTCCACGATTTTCTAGCAGTAGTTAGTAGTGGTTACCTTTCGACAGCCCCTCAGTGGGCTAATTTACGCCGCTGGATGGATAACTTAATTCCTATGTCCCCCTCTGGGCACATACAATCTCTTTTCCAGGCGGAAAAGCATTTTCCAATTAGTGATTTTCATCGACGCCTCTGTCTGCAGTCGCAGTCTGTGTGCATCCCTTTTGTGCGATTATGCGGCTATTTTTATATTATTACCAGCTGAGCACA